CGCAATGCAATCCAGTAAGACTCGATGCGGAAAACATTCTGGATTTCAAACTTTCTACCGGCCACGGCTCTGATCGGATCTGGACGCCGCCGAGGCCCCCAATGCATACAGAGCAACCCCTGCATCATAGCTATTTTCGACATGTCCTGGAGGCTACAATCATCCTTCTCAGCCCAGACCAACCCGACAGGCTCGCAGGCTACCCGATCTGATTGCCACTTCCCCCAGCCCAGCAAAAGTATTTCGTCATCGAACTCTACCACTTCCTTGACCACGATGCCAGACTCCACCAACGACCTCAGGGCAACAACGTTGATATCATCAAGAATAGGATTGCCGACCACAGGGCCCCTTCAGGATGGCGCCTCGTCAGATCAGCCATCGAATCGAGGGCAGCGCGATGGCCGACCACGTCGACGACGGGGGCTATATCCATGCCCGCCGCCCCGCCTTCACCTGCAGGTGGCCCTGCCGGGAGTGCATCCTCCATGGCCGGCAGCTCACCAGGCAGAGCGACACGGCTGGTCTCGGAGTGAACGAGTGACCAAACCCTCACTGAAGCAGCCGCGCGTCGAAGACCAGGTCGGTCAGCCCACTGCGCCAAATCGAGCAACTCAGAAGTGCGATTGGCAACCTCCATTCGCCTGCGACCTGGCGGCGGACAGAACACCTGATGCAATCGACCCCTGAGTGAAATTAGTTCTGCTGCACTTGCATCCTCAAACCATCTGCGCGAAGCGTCAGGAACACGCCGCAGACGAAAAGTCACCCGAGAATTTGGGGCGCCCTCCCCCCCCAATCCCCCAAGTAAAGCTCCTTGGCTGGCCTCGTGCGAAGCCTCAGGAGCAGGCCGCCAGAAATAAGAGTCACCCGAGGCTTTGGCGTTACCTTTTTTACCCTGCACGCCCCAAGTAAAGCCCTCAGGAGTCCTCTCGCGCCCCGAGGGCGATTCCAGAGCGACGTTAATGTGTTCATGTTTGCTCCCAAGATATGTTGCAGCTCCTGCTGCCGACCCTTTGTTGCTATCCGTGGACATAAAATCTCGCTCGTGCCTTCTCCTGCCCCTCCTCCTCCTGCCCCCTTCCTCCTGCCCCCCCCCCCTCCCCCTCCTCCTTCCCACGTCCTCCACATCGGACCTGGCTCAATGATCTCGACGCACCTCAGCTCACGGACGCCGATGCAAGATGATGGTATGCTTGCCTCAGTCGCAGTGCGAGCCGCCGTTCGGGCGCTCGCTCAGGTGGAGAAGTTCGCAATACTTCAACTCATCACCATCGGGCGGCGGCCCAGGAATGCTATCACCGTTGAAGGCATCAGTGATAAAAAACAGCATCGCAAGGCGGTTCTGGACCTGCGTCGGGCTCTGGCTCACCTTGAGCGCTGATCGAAATAGCCATGCCTCGTCGAAGAACGAACTTGACATGATCAACCAAACAAGACTGATATTCTGCGAGGGGCATCGGCTTTGGCACTGCGACTTGATCGGCCACCGCGGCGCGCCATGCAGACATGCAACCCCTCACCTCAACATCCGTGCCAAAGCAAGACTTCTCGTCGTAGACGCAGAGCTTCTCTAACCGTCTACATGGCGTCATGCAACGAAGACTGGCTTGACTTACAGCGTGGCCGAGCTATTGAAACCACGACGTTCGCCCGCGCCATTCAGTCTGCAACGCGTGCCAGAATAGTTTCTGATAAATTGCTGCTTGGAGTTGGCAATGCCGCAAATTCGTCGAAACGTTTGGAGCTAATTCCGCGTTGGTGAAGGCCTGCTTGCCATCAGCGCCGATGATTGAATGTTGCCCTTCCAGCCTCCGTTCAACGAGCAGGAGCGCGCTGGCGACGACAAGCTCCTGAAACAGAGACCAATCGTGTAGGGGCACGCGGTCCGCATCAATGCGCTCTTGCCCGGCAGCTCGGAGACCGCCAGGTTGCAAGAAGAGCGATAAACCACCAGGGCATGTAGCGTTGTCGGCCAGGGCGTCGCACCAAGCAAATGCCTCGACGCAAGACTCCTTTGACGAAGCCATAGACCCACCAAAATAAGCGCGCATCACCCTCAAGAACTTGAGCGGATATTCTGACGCATGTGCAAATTTAACGGACATCTCCTCTGCCATAGCGGTGACAAACACGTCGCTAGCCTGAAGGAATCCAGCACGAGTAGGCCCATCGCAAGTGTTAAGCAGCCTAGTCAGCCTCTCACGAGTAGCATCAACCAAAGATGACTGAGCTTGTTGCGAACGGACCATGGCGATTTCGACAATGCGACGCCCCGCCCAAGCGCACCGCTCATAATCATCGCGCTTGCACCCGCGTCCTGGCAATAGATCATCCCCATCGTTCTGGCGGGGGTGGCAACGGCAACCCTCGAGCCGAGACGCTTCAGCGCAAACCGCCCCCACCTTCACGAAAAACAGCTCGACCAATACTTCGAGAGATGATATGGCCAGCGTCGCCGTGACGTTGCTGGCGATGCTGCTATCGACGACGTCGGCCTCGCCCCCGCCCCGCCCGTGCCCTTCCCTACCCGACATCTTCTCAGAGTCCCAGAGCTCAATCATCAGCTTGACGCGGTACCTCAGCTGCAGCAGAAACACATAAAACTTCCGCCACCTCCATGAGAAATTTCCACCAGACCAGTTCCTGAACACAGATGTAGCGGTCGGGCGGGTAGAACAACACTTGCTCATGAATCGTCGCCGCAAGCCTCGCTTTCCAAGAAAGACGCCCAAGGCCCTGAGCCCTCCCTCGAGCTCTCTCCACTGCGGCATTGCAGCCGCGCCCTTCCTGAGAGCGTTGAACAAGATGTGCAAGCGACCTGGGGTCTCCCATGCTCGTGGCCACATTCGCCCTCTCAGAACGTCGGCGTCGTTGATGCTCAGCTCGCCAGTCTTGAGGCGGTCGATGATACCGCTGGTGCAATCCATGCCGAGAATATTCGGACATCCCCACAGCTCCTTCTCTGCGCCCTGGCCGGCGTACCCCTGCCGCATTTTTGAACGGTGCCCTTCCTGATGCTTCTCGCCAGCATCAAGGATGCAAACATGGGCCACGCGCGCGCGGTTCTTGCCCAGCACAGATTCTCCCCAACCTAATGTCGTTAAAGGTTTGATACGGCTCTCCACTGTAAGAGCCGACAACGGGTTGCGCCCCCACCCGGGCCTGCGCTTGAAGGTCAACACCTCTTCCCGAACGACGAAGCAGTCCTCGCCTATCTGCGGTGAGGAGTCCGCGCCAAGCTGGAAAAGACAAAAAAAAACGATCGCGATAGAATCCACGGTCCCGCTGAGCCCTACGACGCAGCATGAGCACGCGGTCCATCTTAACCCTCCATCGGTCTAGCGCGGCACGATCTGGAACTCGAAATCGAAGTTCTTCATCAGCACCGCAATATTTCAAGGCTCTCCTCACGGCGTGCTCGATCCGACTCTGATTTGTTACCTCATGCGATATGAGAACAGCAGACACAATAGCTCCGAGAGAAAACCTGTCCTCACCCTCGTCGTCGCGGGCGCCATCATCGACAGGAGGGCCGTCTCCCGCCGTTGCTGCAGTGCTGAGAGGAAGAAGAAGAATAAGTGCTTACAAGGCCCTGCGCGCCAGCCTCAGATGCTGCGCGTTCGTGCGCGACGAAAAACTTGCGCTCCTCTAACCAAAAATCTCTGTGCTGGATCTTCGGCAACATGATGCAGACTGCGACGCCGCGAAGAGTGAGATGCTCGTCACTATCGATGCTATCCAACTTGAAATGGCGCGCCAATGACGCACCCTTCCTGACAGCATGCGTTGATAGAGGGCTACAGGTGGATCAAACGTCTCAACCCTGGTGGTAAACCACTCGTGGCACGACTCGGGCGGCCACAGAAAATCAAACGTCCTGGGGTCTGAAGACAACAGCGGGACGACCGAAGATACTTCGCACACTCCTGAAATCTGTCTCTCCGCTGACTGTCTCCTATTAGCTATACGAGCGGACATTTGACAGCCACTAGCCAGTGATCAGACCATCAGCACGGCGTGGCCTCTTGTTCGGAGGGCCAGCTACATTGCCGCGGATGACGCGCCCAGCTCGCATGACGACAAAACCTGAAATGGCTACGGCGAGCAGGAGGGGCATGGCAGCAGCGCGGTAGTCAGTGTCACCATGACACATCGAATCAATTCACCGGGATGCGTTTGGCACAGTGGCCTTCGTGGGCCCATGGCAATGCAGGTGCATTGATTCGCGCAACGAGAGGCCCAAGGGGCACCAGCAAGGGAACGCGAGGCCTAACAGCAACCCCAGTGAAGCTCCGCGAGGCCCAAAGCTTAAGTTAGGCCCGCTAAGGAAGCTCACATGAGGCCCACACGACAGAAATGACGTCAACAAAAGCGCTACTTGCCGGAGCGCGGACGTAGTGACGCAGGAGACTTGTTTACTTTGTTATCGCACATACGCCGAGGCGTTGCTTTTTAAGACCACCTGCGATGTATGATTGCGCCCTGTGTTAAATCCTTGTGCTGCGTTCGTGCATGCATCTGCGTTTGAGAACTTTGCGTGGCCACGGACGCGCGCATGCCGCGGTTTTCTATGCCACATTAGCAAGTATTCAATAGATTTCGGCACCAGCGAAATCAACGTCGACCTGCGCTAAGGTGTTAGGTGTGTTGTGAGGGGCGCGCAAAGAACGTGTTGTCCTACCCCATGATAACAAACGCGTGAGTTATGAGTTCTCACCAATTCATGATCAAGTTTCGTAGTGTATGCATTTGTTTGTTATGTTTGGGGAGGCTCAAGTTCACGCACCTTGCGCTTTCACGAAACGACGTTTGGAGGGGTGGGAACTCGCGAACCCCGCGCTGTAGGTTTCCGGGGGGGGGGGGGGGGGGGGGGCGCCACTAGCTGCGCGCCCCAACCTCCACTCACCTGTCTCCTCTTACACGTCCCACGCTTGCGCGGGCGCTTCAAATTCCAACAACAACGAATTATTATCTCGACGACGAGAACTGCACGTGCGCTGGTTCACTGCTCGTGCACCCGGGCGCCGACTCAACGCGTTGCCCTACATAAGCGGGCTCAATATGAATCCACCGAGTCCAAACAAGCTGCGCGCTCTCAGACACCGAGCCACCACAGTGGCGCACGTCTGAACGCCGTCCACCTTCCCCATTCAGAGCCACGAGCTTGAGGGCCGCTTGCCAGCCCGCGTGGACGAGGCCCGCCGGGCCGATGACAGCCAACATGCGCGTCGAATGCCCCTCCCGACTTCGAGTCCTCACGTTCGCGCTGCAGAAGTACACGAGCTGGATGAACTCCTGCGGGAGGATAGCGCGACCACCCGTGCTGCAACGGCTCCGCATCCTCCTCCGCCTACTCCTCCAATCACGCCTTGCGCTCCCTCCTCCTTTGCCTCCTCCTCCTCCTCCCCCTTCTCCTCCTCCTCCTCCTCCTCCTTCCCCCATCCGCCTCCTGGCGACGGCGACGGCGACGGCGACGCCGGCGGCGGCGACGACGACGACGACGACGCCTTGTCGCGGGCAGTGAGGGTGCCCTTGTTGCCGACGAGCGGCAGGGGCCCCAAGGCCACCGGCGGGCCGTGCCACGGCAAAGCCGACGGCGGCTCCATGGCTCACGGGCCCGCGTCGGGCCCACGGCGAGGGCGCGCCCCGCTCGAAGCAAAGGGCCCGCCGCGGTGAACGGAGCCACAGCGACGATCAGGAGGAGGAGGAGGAGGGGGCGACGGTCACAGGGCCCGTTGCACCGAACCTGTTTGCATTTCTGGAGGCCCTCGTCGCCACGGCTCATCGCGCCTCGACGAGGGGAAAAGCATGGGCCTGGACCCCCCTCAAGTGTTTGACCCGCCCTCTGTGGATTTAGTACGCTCCTTTGTGGACTTAGTATGTGGGCTTAGTATGCGCCCCCCCCCGCGCCCCTGCCCGTGGAGGATGAGGAGGGTTAGGAGTAGGAGGCGAGTGGGCCAGTTACTTCGTGATTATCGCATAGATCCGATCCACGTCCCACAACTTAGCTTCTCGATTATAAGAGCGCGTTTCGAAGCACTGGCAGAACACAGCTTAGCTTTGAGACTTTGTTTGGTAAGTTAACCAGCACAAACAATTGAAAGCTAATTGTGAAACGCGAATAGGGCAAACAGGTGTTAAAAATATAAGTTGGTTGTAAATGATTATAAATATTTGTAAGTGCTTGCTCGTAGAAGCTATATTACGTAGGTCCACTTATCATGGTTAACAATCGTTTGCTAAGTGGTGGGTGCACACTTAACATACACTGAGTAACATACATATAAGTCCCACAAACGGATACAAACGTTTAGTAACTTCCAAGAACTTACTAAACGGTTCGGTCCAACTATATATAGGTTGTCAGACTTATAACATGAGTTACCAGGGTTATAACATGGTTATACGCATGTTATAAACACATACTAAATCCACGGAGAAACGGGCCCCCAAAGTACCCCCCCTCCCGCCCCAAGAGGCCCCCAAGAGCCCCCCAAGAGGCCCTGGGGTCCCCCAAGACGCCGCCAAGGAGCCCCAAGAGACTCCCAAGAGGTCCCCAAGAGGCCCTAAAGAGGGCTCCAGGGCCGGCGGAATGAGCGAAGCGATGACATGTAAATGTAAATCAACGATGTTGCCCTCCCGGGGCGCTCTTGAGCGGCATCTTAAAGGCCTCTTGGAGCGTCTTGGGGGGCCTCTGGGGCAGTTTAAAACGTATCGTGCGTCGCCAGAGACCCCTGGACGGCGTCTTGGGGGTGTCTCGAGACCGTCTGGGGCCGCCGGGATTGCTGTGTGAGGGCTCCCTGGGGCGATCTTGGGCCTCCCAAAGGCGGGCCCGGGCCCCGGGACCCACATTTGCGGTCGAGGTTCCGGCCCTCGGCCAACGAGCCCGGTGCGCCGCTATATGCATATTCACTGGCAGACGGACGCCACCTGCAAGCCAGCATTGCAGCCTGACGCGCCTTGGCGCGAACGGCACACGTGCTGAGGCGCCGAATAATCCCTTTTCGGAACATTCGAACGCCAACAGTGAAACTCCGCCACCCTGTCGCAGACCCTGAGGTCCGCGGGGGCTTAAATTTAAGCCCCTGTTGAATATAGTGATAATTACATATGTAAGACGGCCTGTGTTTGCACTGCAAGCCAATGGGCAGCTACTTCTTGATAAATATCATAGATCGCAACAGCCATGGTTTGCGTCATGCGTTTACTTCTAAACAATGTCGGTCTTGTAACATATTTCACTTGACACGGCTGTGCAAATTAAGATAGTAATTCCACTACAGTACCGCTGCGCCAGTGCATTCAAAAAAAAAATCTTTGCGAAAGACCCACCACCCATATGCATGCGCGAGTACCGCGTGGCAGGCGGGACGAAGCAGGGATAGCTCCCTATGGGGACACGAAACGCGTGAGCGGTGTGCCGAAATGGGGCGGGCCGCGCACACGACTGGGGCCTTCGCTTGGGCCCCCTATGAGGCCACGAAACGCGTGATGGGGTGCACCGAAAATGGGGCGGACCACGACGAGGATGACGACGATACGGAAACGTAACAGTGAATAACGCCACACGCACGCTTCCCTCATATGAGGGGACGTGGAGATCCTCTGTCTCATCCCTCATCGTCATCCTGTAAATCAGCTGCGGATGCTCAAGCACTGTGTCGTACGCCCCGCTACCAACTGAACTTTGACTGATGCCAGACGACATTGACTCGAGGCCACGCTTCTCTGGTGAGACCAAAGTGCTGGTGGATGCCCTTGCCCCTGCTGTACAAGATATAGGCAGGAGCTGGATCAAATACGACGACAACCCCTTGGCCAACAAGGCCAAACTCGACACCAACCAGATCAAGGCGAGCCACGGCGTCCTGGCCGCCCTGCGCTCAGTCCAACACAACCTTAGCTTCAAGAAGACCCAGATGCAGGATGTCGTGCGGGGCTTGCTTACCCGATTCGCAGACAAACCAGAGTGGCAGCTGAAGGAGGAACACATGGAAGCCTACGTCACGACGATCTCGAGAAGGGTCCTCAATATGTGCAGAGGTGTGCATCAGGCAAGGGCTTAAGCACAACAAACCTTTACGAACATGTAACACATCTTGGGGCTTGTTGTTGCCGCGGCTGGATTCGCTTCGAATGGGAGGCTGCGGGGCCACGTGGGGCCCCGCAGCAATCTTTACAGCAATATTGTGCTGAAGTCCACTTCAGGCAGAGACCAAGCACCCGCAGACCGCTTGGGTGCGAGAGCTGCCCTGGCACCTGCAGGTGGAGGACAAGACGGCGTCTTCCAAGCCCAACGCGTCCGTCACATGGCTGTACTACTGGGCGCCTTCGATGAGGAAGGCGCATCGGTACCCAGACAAAAAAAATGGAGAAAAAAAGAAGGAGATATGCAGCATCGTCAGGGTCCCCGAGCGCTGCGGCGTCCTGCCGACAGATTCCGTAATCGCTGAATGGCCAGACGGTTCCACGTGGGAGGTCGCCGATTGCACGATCGAGCAGTTCATCGGCACGACGAGGCCTCGAACTGGCGGCCCAAGCAGCTCGGGAGGCGATGAGTACTGGGAGGGCGAGCACGCCATCACACACAACAAATTGGTGTGCAAGTTCAGGGCTGATCGGTCGCCCCTTTTCAGTTTGTACGAGCAGCAGGCCCAGATCCTACAGGTGAACATCGACAAATTCAAAACACGTCGGGAGCTCGGTTGGTTAACAATTCAATCGTGCAGGAGTTTTGCTATGTGTTATCTCCCTCCTCCCTCATCCCTTTTTCCCTCCTCCCCCTCCCTCCCCATTCCCCCCCTATCACCCCTCCGCCTACCTCCTTCCCCATCCCCCCTCCCCCTTCCCCCCGCTCATCCCTCTCCTCCCTCCCCCCTCCTCCCCCCTTCCTGTCACCCACCCTCCTCCGCCCCCCCCGTCCCTCCTCGTTCATCCTTCCTCCCCCTCCCGCCCCTCCTTACTCCCCTCCTCCCCCTCCCTCCCTCCCTCCCCCCTCCTCCCTCCCCCCTCCCCCCTTCGGGCCCTGGGGCCCTCAAAAACGGACTCCTCCTTGTGACCCAGAGGGCCTTTGAACGTATAACCCGCTAGCGCTACCCCAGGATGCGTGGAACATCATCCACTCAATTGCGATCGACTATTCGAAGGACAGCATCAAGAAGGAGAACCTCAAGCAGATCAGGAACGACCGCTCGCAGGGCGGCATCTCGCCAGATGGTGTCTCGGGCACCGCAGGTGATGGTGGGGGTGGCAGGCGCGGCGCAGCGGCGAAGAGGCCAGCAGCGTGCCAGGCCAACTAAGTCGAACGGGGGAGGGAGGGCGGGGGGAGAGGGGAAGGGAAGAAGGGAGGGGAGGGCAGGGGAGGGGAGGAGGGAGGATGGAGAGGAAGGGAGGGCATGAGGGCGCGGGGAGGGATGGAGTTAGGGAGGGAGGGGGGGGGAGGGAGGGAGGGAGGGAGGGAGGAGACCTCTGGAGGTTTAAAGTGTTCTTCGGAGTTCTCGGAGGTCCTGGGGGGATCTAGGGGGGCCCTCGGGGGTGTCAGAGGATCTCAAGGTTTTAGGGGGTCATCTTCCTCCCTCCTCGTGCTCCTCGTCCTCCTCGTTGCCTCCCCCGCTCGCTCCCCAAGCAGAGGTGTCCCTCCTTCCTCGTCCCTTCCTCTCCCTCCTCCTTCGTCTGGTCCTCCCTCCTGCCCCTTCCTCTGGCCAGTTCCATCCACCCACCCATCCCCTCTCCGTCAACAGCTTCGGGCGTTGGTAACACGTTGCGTCGCCCCCTGAAGGCCCCTGCAGCGGAGGGCGAGGACCTCGAGCCAGTGATGAAGAGGCCAGCAGCTCAGCAAGTGCGGGTCAGGCCCGCAGCAGCGATGGCCAAGCCAGCAGCATCGACGCTTGAGCCGACCGATGTCCCCGATGGTGATCTCGACGGCGACGGCGACGACCACGACGACGGCGAGATTTCCAGAACTGGCGCTGACGACGCCAACTCCGACAGCTCAGGCGTCGGGCCGCCAGCGCCCCCGAGTGATGACATGTTTTCGGCAGCGTGAGCGACTAGATATTCTTATGGACGGAACATGTCGCGCACGTCACCGTGCAATGAGATATCCGAGTCAGCATCAGTACCACAACCACCAGTCATACCACCAATCGACAGCACATAACAAACATCTTATCGCATTCGACCTCGATGCGATAACTAACATCTCCTCACATTCGAACTCGATGCGATTAGGCCACCAATAGCGCGTGATATGCCTATCCCCCAATATCCTCTCATCCTCTCCTCCTTTCTCGTAGCCATTTCGGCTCAAGCCGTCTGCAAACGAGTAGCCTTCACACGTGAACTAAGATGCAAAGTATTGCGGAGATGCTCGGTGCGACAACCACTCCTCTGAAGAGTGCTCATGGTGGCGTCACGCTCAAGGTCGAAGTTCCAGTGGAGCCCGCACCTCCAACAGCGGAGCCTGCGAAGCCTGCTGCGCCACCTGCCACCAAGCGGCGGAAGATTGCCCTGAAAAGGCCCGCCGCTTGCACGACCGCGGCCGCAACTGGTGGAGCGGCGTCAGCAGAGACCTCACCTTCGTCAACAAAGCCAGCAACCTTTCAACAACATGAAGATGAATGGGACGCCGTGGAGGAGCAGCTAAAGTCAGACGCGGCAGTGCCCGATGCAAACGCTGTTCGGGCATTTTCGGGAGAACACGCCACGGGAGACTCAGCCTTCCTTGGCTTGGAGGCGTATCTCGGAAAGGAGTTCCAGCGGGTCAAGGCAGAGGATGACGAAGACACGAAGGGGGAGTTGGCCGCCAAGGACCTGAAGTACCTCCGTGGCCTCGAGGACGCCGTCAAGAATAAGAACGTGGACCCTAGGACTAACCCTGTCATCCAGAAGCTCTTGAGGATTGGCGACGAGAATGATAGGAAGGCGTACAAGAAGTGCACCACCGATGAGGAGCGCAAGAGCTTCAAGATCGAGTGGAGCAAGAGGAAGATCGAGGCAAGCAAGACCTGGACCAAGGAGTGGAAGAGGGTTGGCGAGACCGCAGGAGCCTCTAATCTGAATTACGTGGACGGGGTGGGGGGGCCAGGGTACGCAAGCCGACCAGCCACTGCATCAGACCAAGCACCCCCCCAGAACCACTAATGAACATTATAAGTGCGCGCAGTGGAACCTGCCGAGTCCGAGCGATCCCCCTGAACAGAACAAAAAAAAAACATATAAAGATCCGCCTAACAAAAAAAACATATAAGATGTAGAAGGTCAAGGCTGGGGAAAACGATGGACACGAAATTGGGGAGGAGGGCGGTGGGGGAAACGGGGGAGGAGGAAGAGGGGAAGGACGGAGGGATGGATGGGGGAGAACAGGGGGTGACGGAGGGGAGGGGAGAGCGGGGTGGGAGAGGGTGATGGGGGAGGAGGGGTGGGGGAGGGAGGGACGGGGGGAGGACGGGTGAAGGAACGAAGTCCCTTTGGGCTATCCCAGGCACTTACAAGACCCTCGAGGCGGTGGCCGTTGATTTTGGCTACGTAGTGAACCCAAAGAGGGCGCTCGAGAAAGCTGTGACCTACTGCAAAAAATGCATTAAGCTGAGCGGCAAGTGGGTACACTACGATGACATGAGCGAGCAGATATTGTTTTTCCATTTGAGGATCGAGAGGAGGGAGCTTATGACACAGGTGGCACCATGTGGGAAAATGAAAGAACGTATTGTGGCTGATGTGATGCGCTGTTTGCGTGCTTCGTTCTTTTGGTTGTGAGCGCTCTGGAAAGATTTATGCTGCTCGATGTCGCACGTTCGGCTTAGTCTTCGTTTGGGTGATCTGTGCATCCGATCTGATGATAGTTTCGATCTCCAGAAGTCTGATGTGTTCCTCCTTCTCCCTCCTACCCCTCCCCCTTCCTCCTCCCTCCTCCCGTTATCCTTCGTCCTTCCTCCCCCCTCTCCATCCCCCCCTCCTCCTCCGCCCCGCGGAACGCTGGATGATTTCTCCGGTGGACCAGAGGACGGAGGAGGAGGGAGGGAAGGAGGGAGGATGGCGAGGGAAGGAGGGAAGATGCCCTCTTTTGATTGCCCAAACCTCGCAGGCTTGGGCATTGTACACGACGGAGTCGCTCAAGCCCAAAGAGGCCAAGGTGGAGCCCGAGACGGCGAACCCCCCTCCGAGGCCGAGGCAGACGCCGAAGCCGAAGGACAAGAAGGTGTTGGAGCTCGAGAAAAAAATGAAGGACGCCGTTGGTCTCAAGGCCAAGTACCACACCGTTACCAGCAAGGCCCAGACCATGATCGCGGATGTCAACGTCGACGAGAAATGGAGCTGGGCTCGCGGGGACGATAACATTGGCACGCTGAAGAACGTCATGGAGGAGCTCAGGCAGATGGAGACCGAGCTCAACGTCCAGGAGGTGCTACACTCGGACTTCAAGAACTTGAAGCGCGAGATCGGCCACGACTCTCTGATCGCCAAGCTGACGAGCTTCATGAATCTGGAGCAGAAGCTCAAGGACGTCGAGTCTACCCACACCATGCTCTGGAACATGCATATTGCTAGGAGGAACAAGTAGGCTGTGCGAGCTGATTGATGGAGGTGACAGTCGACCAGAGCAGTGATCAGAGCAGGGACGCCATGGGGGAGGGGCAGTCGATCAGGGCAGCGACGTGCAACGCAGTGAGTGTGTTTACTCGTTTATGCACCGCCCTCCTGGGCCAGGCCTGTCGATGCCGTTGGGGGGCGGCGAGCGTCGGCAGTAGGCCGATTGTCCAGACCAGCGCAGCTTTTCAGAGATAAAACACGTGGATTTCCAAAAAATCAAAAAAAACAGCCCTGGGAGCAGCGAATCTTTTTAATGAACTGTTGATGCAATGTTTAATGATATTTTAATGTAATCTCATTTTTCACTGTGTTTTACAATGGTGTGTACCCATTTGTGTTTAATAAATTTTTTAATGAAATTCATGATATTTTAATGAAATGTTTTAGAGCCTCCTGGGGCATCCTTTGGGCCTCTTGGTGCCTATCGGGACCTCCTGGGGGGCGCCTTGGGGCTTCTTGGGGCATCCTGGGGGCCTGTTGGAGCCTCCTGGGGGCCTCTTGGGGCGGAAGGATCCGACACGTCGGTTCGCGTTCCCCCTCTTGGGCCCATCTTGGTACCCTCTTGGAGCGCATTGGAGGGCCTCTTGGGCCGTATTGGGGTCCTCTCGGTCCGACTTGGGGCCGTGTTGGGGCCTCTTGAGCAGTCTTGGGGCGATATTGAAGGCCGCTTGGGCAATGTTGGGGCGTCGGAAGCCCGAAAATACGATGACGTAGAGAACAGGGCCCCCTCCAAACGGCACCCAAGAGGCCTCAACAACGCCTCCAAGCTGCCCCCCCGAGAAGCCTCGAATGTCGCCCCAACAAACATATAATCGGCCTCTGGCCCACGGCACGTCGGCGGGTTTGGCCGAAGGCCACTAGATACATAACTGTAGAAGGGAGAGGGAGACATATAGAGAGCGAGCGAGAGAGAGAGAAGGTTAGAGAGGGGGAGAGAGAGATTCTGTGTATATGTATATACACGTACGGAAACATAGATAGATAGACAGAGGGGATATTCACATGTGTATATATAGTACAAAGAGGAAGGTTAATATATACATATATATATAGTGAGAGGGGGAATATTGAGCTAGAGAGCTACAGAAAGAGATAGAACAAGAGAGAGAGAGAGAACGAGGGAGCCTAGGAGCTTTTCTGCAAAAGGCTTCGGTGTGCAAAGATTGGTTGCGTCGACGCCACGCCCGCCACCCCACCCCCACACCCCGCCACGCGACCCTTAGGAATCACAGAACGCACAATCTTACAAGAACCGCACATCCTGAGAGAACCATTTTTCCTTGGAGCCGCTCCTGTGGGTTCGTGGCGCGCAGATCCATTCAGAAAAAATCGCAACGAACTCTGCAAGTCGCGCGGCCGTCTCCGCAGGGGGAAGGCATGTATAACATCTATTGGGGCTCGGGTGCCAGCGCGAAGCGTGTAATTATCAAGTCGGTTGGTTGCCGCTGGTGTATCCCCGAGGACGTTTCGTGCGAGGTACCAATCATAAATAGATGGTTTCCGCACAACTGGGGTTCCTAATCACCCAATTCAACCAACACGAACCCTGGGCCGTCCATGCGTGTTATGACTCTTCGCCGCACCCCACAATGCACGCCCCCTCTGCAATCGCCCCCCCCCCCCCCCCCCCCCACGACTACGAGGAGGGAGAATGACGAGGATAGGGAGGAGGAGGGAAGAGGACAGGATAGGAGGAGCAGGAGGACGACGAGGGGCTAGGGAAGAGAGGGTAAGAGGACGTGGAAGGGAGGAGGGAGGAAGAGGGCGGGCAGAGCTTATCTATTTGTAGGTTGCTCCAGAGTCATGGCAGTGGCACCGAAGGTGCACCCAGAGCCACCCATAATATTGATAGAGGCCTGCCTATAAATGCACACGTATGCATCCGTAACCAGTTTGGCTCAAAATGTTGGCTGTTGGCCATCACCGCAGCACACACTACCGCCCATGCCGCTCCTTGACCCATGGGACGTCCCAAATGTCGGTGGTGGGCATCAGGCTTGGGACGAACCAGGATACGGCTCATCAGATGATGAACTTCCAGACCCTTTGGTCGACAAGGTTGCGGCAGCAGGTGAATTCTTGGATATTCTTGTGGACATGTACCTAACATCGTCAATATCAGCAAAAGGTTTTTTTGTGAGTTGTGGTTTTGGGGCGAGAGAGCTGGAATGGCTGGGGAGCAAATCAAGAGCTATGGGATGAAGCCTGGTTGCAGCACTGGCCATTACCAGCGATACCTGGATCGAGCTATGGGGCTAGACCAGCACCACTCCAAACACTATCATGTGCCAACTCCACAATACCGAAAAGACGACATCACAAGGACCGTCGGTGAAATCCCATTCTTGCCGCCACACGAAGTTGTGCAACAATGGGTTGAGGAAGATCCTAGTCTGATGCTTAAGCTCACGGAAAACATCGAAGACACCACATTTCCTCCATGCTACAGAGAGAATCCCGTTGTTCGGAGAAACTGCTCGCCAGTACTTCCGCTTGCCATGTACATGGACGGAGCCCCTTACAATTTAACGGATAGTGTTGTGGGGATCTGGCTCGAAGAGACGGTAACGCATAAAAAGCAATTGATTGGGCTGGTCCGAAAAAGAATCGTGTGCAAGTGCGGCTGCAAAGGCTACTGCACGTACTACCCAATTTTAACACTTTTGCACTGGAGCTTCCAGATATTGGCAAGTGGCGTCCACCCTCGCCGTCGGCACGACGGCGCGGAGTTTGGCGACCATGATGCTTCCAGGAGGGATGCAGCAAGCACTCGTTTAACACTTCAAGCCGTTATATTGTTCTTAAAAGGGGACTGGGCCGAGTTCTGCGAACGGTTTGGGTTCCCATCTCATGCATCAGGTATGAGGCCATGTTTCTGTTGTTCGGCATCTACCAGCGAAGAGCTCTTCAACCACGAAGGGGTATCTGCCCTGGAGGCACCGTGGCACGTAAACACCGATGCCGACTTTGAGCGAGCGACTAGACTTTGCGAGATTGAGGTTGATCTCACGCCAGCCTTGCATGCAAAGATCGCACCGCTCTTGCATTATGACCAGAGATCCTACGGGGCTAGAGGGAGGGCCCTCACGGCTGACATATCCGAGGGTGGTGCCGATCTTCGGACGGGGGACAGACTAGAGCCGTGCATCTACCTTGGTGATATTAGCAAGTTTGAAGAGATTGTTACGTTCCCTTCCAAAGTTTTATTCTGGAGGAGATCCCGAGAGTCGCTCACGCAGCACAGATGCGCCCTCTGGGACGAAGATCTCGACCTTACCCCAGTCCGCTGTATAGCCATAGACCTTTTACATACATACCACCTTGGATCGTTGCATACCTGGGCAAGAGAGGCAGTCTGGCTCTTGATGACAAAGGCGTGGGGACAGTGCGCAACTTTAGAGGAGTCGCAGCTTGTGAGCGTGTTGTGTTTGAGGAGCGAGCTATTCACTTGGTACTCAAGAAACGAAGAGGACCCAGCGTGTCCTATCACCCGCGTCTCTGATTTAACAGTGAAAATGCTTGGCACTTCAGCATCGCACGCTCTCAAGCTGAAAGCAATGGAGACGTTTGGATTTGCGATGTTCTTAGTGTCTGCTCTGGAGGTGCATTTGGCAAGGCTCGGGCCCCAGGGCCCACTCTACCTTAGGGCAGGCAAGCTTCTTCTCGAGTTTATGTCAGCGCTCAAGCGTTTCAGGGAGGATGGTCTGCATGTGAGCGCGTCGCAGGCACAAGAGCTTTTGAGCAGTTCGAAAAAGTTCCTCGCCATCGGCACTGTTCTTGAGCTGCACGTGCCGAAGTCTCACCTGATGTTGCATGGCGTACTGAGGTCAACATTCTTGGGGGCACTGTTGGCCTACCAAACCTTTGCCGACGAAGGTCGAAACAAAGACTTGAAGAGAGTACTGAGGCTGTGCCACCAAGCTCGAATTGAGACACTGGCCCTTGTCAAATTCAGCGAGGTGTTTAATCGAGAGGGCTCCAAACGGAGACGCAGCTAGGTCAACTTGCGTTCCTCTTTCCCATTCACAACCTCTATCGCTACCGAACGCAAGGTGAAGGTAACGTCATAATCACCCTCAATCGTCCACTCCTTCGCAAATCCTTGGGGCGCCGTCTGCGAAGGCTCTGTTGCGCAATGTGTGCGTTGGTTAGCGGCGCCAGGGACTGGCACACAAAACAAGCGATCCATTGGCTGACTTGGGAGGGGGGGTAGGAGGAGGAGGAGGAGGAGGAGGAGGAGGAGGGGGAGGAGGAGGAGGAGGAGGAGGAAGAGGAGGAGGAGGAGGAGGAGGAGGAGGAGGAGGAGGAGGAGGAGGAGGGGGAGGAAGAGAACGAGGAGGAGGGGGGGAAGAGACGGAGGAGGAGGGGGGGAGGAGGAGGGGGGGGAGGAGGAGGACGAGGAAGAGGTGGAGGAAGAAGGAGGATGGGAGGAAGACGAGGGGAAGGGGGAAAGGACTGGGGGACGAGGGGGAGGGGGACGGAACACGATGAAGAATCGCACGTGGAGAAGGGCGACGCACAAGCTCGGGGTCTGTGCGCCCGTTCCACACTTGCTTCCTACCAACTTCAAAAGCTCCCGCCACTCCGCCACCCCTTTGGGTGCCTCCCAGCCGCACCCTACCCCCCTCTGCCCCCGCGGCCACCCCGACATCGCACGGATGTCCACCATGCAGGGTGGTAATCTGCCCCGCGCTCGGGCGCGGCATAGGTGCCGCCCCCGAGTGCCCCCCCCCTTCCGCCCGCGCACCACTGCGGGCACGATCAGGCATGGAGGGGGCTTCCCCGCCGCAGTGGCGGCCGCGCTGGGACCGCGGAGTCCATCGCGGTACCCCCCCCCACACACACATAGGCATAATCCAAATGTAGACTGGAAGCTTCGCGCGTGACGGCCCCGTCGCTGTAAAACGCATTGCGCTTGCGATGTAGCGTATAGGAGCCAATGTATCATGAACCAACGACGGCGGTTGCCCAGCCCTGCCGTGCCCCCCATCGCCCCCTGCCCCCTACTGAATTACACGTAGAAGGCGACGCTGCAATGAAAGAGGGCGCGATACATATTCTGACACCGCGCGCTCACTTGTTTTCAAACGAAGGGGGGGCTCAAACGAAGGGGTAATCAAACGAATGGGATGCTCAAGCGAGGGCACGTAGCTCCAATATGCCCCCTGGCACTCAAACGAAGGGGGTACAACAACAAACTCACGAAAGGGACCCCGCGAGCGCGCGAAGCAAATATCAACCCCAAATTGGGGAGGGAGGAAGAGGGAAGGAGGATCGATGAGGAGGGGCACCAGGAAGAGGATGATGAATACGAGGGGCGACGGACGAGGGAAGAGGGAGGAAGGAAACGTGATGGAGGAGAGGGGAGGAGGGAGGAAAAAGGAACAGGATTTTCGTATGTTTCCGCCCCGTTGTTAACCAGCGGTTGCGGCGCAGCGCACGCCGTGGCCTGATCCAAGGAGGCGGGCACTACTAGAGAATGTGCCGCACGCCCTGAAAATTACCGTAGGCCCATCTTGTGGGACGGAGCTTGCCCCACGGCATCCATCTAGCGCCTCGAAGGGCCCACTCCCAGAAAGCATCGCGCTCCGACTGGGGGGGGGGGGGGGGGGGGCGATGCGCCTGGGCCTGGATGCCGCAATCCAGGGTGATTGGACCTCCTCTGCGCTTGGGGCGGAAGCCTTTTTGCAATCTGGGCCCAAGTCCAAACTAACGACTCGCCGAGGGCAGGCCTCGAAGGCGATAAAGCGAGTTGCTCGGCCTCCAGGTCTTGAGACCTGGGGGCGGCCTCGAGAGCGAAACAACAGTGAAACGAAAGGCCAGAAGTGAGTCGTTCAAACATCTAGGCGCAAAAACTATGCAACCGAACTTCGAGGCAGCATTTGGCGCGGGAGGTCGACTCCGAAACGCTGCTGTGTCTGCCCGAAAAGACTGCTTGATCACGTGTTATGTCATTCGGGGCATGGTTGTGCGATGTTCGGCTCGAAGATGGCTCAATGGTCCCACGTCGCAAACGAGGGCTCGCAAGTCTCCGAAGAAAACTGATAATCTGCCCAACTCCCCATAGGATTTGCCTGTATCCACCCACATGTGGCCAAGTTATTACTCATGTAGTCAAAATGCAATGTTCTATAGAAGCGACAAAAACATGGGATCTTAAATTTAAGATCCCGTGGACCCCTGGGGACACGTTGGGGCCGCGTGAGAGCGCTTGTCGGCTTTCGGGGAATGTTTCTGCTGTTCTCTGGGAGTGACGCCCCCTGCCGCGCACATCCGCACAAACTCGCGCCCTCTGCACTTTGCTCCACGGCTCCACGGCGCCCTGAGCCAGAGACTGCCTCAAAACGGCCGCAAGACGCCCCAAGCCCGTCCAAAGACGGCCCAGCGGATTCTTTTGGCCCTGCCCTTTCTTGAAATCATGTCGGGATTTCTTGGAACCCCCTTGGGCGGACTCCAGAAACTCCGGGGCCATTTTTGGGGCCTCTTGGGCCGACTTCGGGCCCTAGGAGGGGGGAAGGAGGGGCCAGGCGGAGCGAAACAAACGATTGCCTCCGCAGCAAGCAGATCGAATCCGAGGTTGGGAAAGAGATCGAGGTGAACAGGAGGCCCCCCGCCAAGAAATCGTTTTCGGTTTCGTGTTTGTGTCGTACGTGAGGGTGAGGCGAAGCTGCGTCGGCGGGCGAGAGGAATGTACCCGCCGTGCTTAAGGCAAAACCGGGCCAACTTTTGCTGCGCCCCCCGGTTGGCCAGCAGTGGCCCGGGGGTGTCCCGTGGTGTGATAGAATCCGAGGTTGGGAAAGAGATCGAAGTGAACACGAGACCCCCCGCCAGGAAATCGTTTTCGGTTTCGTGTTCGTGTCGCGCGTGTGGGCGAGGCGCGAAGCTGCGTCGGCGGGCGAGAGGAATGAACCAGCTGTGCTTAAGGCTTACGGCAAAACCGAACCACATTTTGCTGTGCCTCCCGGCTGGCCAACGGTGGACCCGGGGTGTCCCGCGGTGTCCCCCCCGGTTGGCATTCGGTGGCATGGGGGTGTCCCGCGGTGTCGCGCGGTGTCCCGTCGTGTCTGGTGCTATGCGATGCTGTGCTATGCTATGCTATGCCATGCTGTACAATGCTACGCTATGTTATCAATGCGATGCTAAACTATGTGGTGTGATGCGATGCGGTTCTATGCTGTGCGATGCGATACGATGCTTTGCTATGGTATGCTACGCCATACTGTACCATGCGATGATATGCTATTATATGCGATGCGATGCGATGCGATGCTATGCTATGCTTTGCTATGCTATGACGTGCTACGCTATGCTCTTCTATGCTGTGCTGTGCGTTGCAAAACGATGCTCTGCTATGCTCTGCTATGCGATGCAATGCCATGTTGTAACTCCAGTTGGTCCCCCTTCCTCCTCCCCACCACCGCACACACAACCTCCTGATTACCCGAAGGGTGGTCGTGCACGTAGGTATCTACTGGCAGGACCTCGCAGCCAGAGACTCCAGAGACGCAACCGCCTCGCGCACACTTGCCTGGAGTGCGCAGGGATGGGGAGGAATGGGAACGATCTGGGAGGAGCTGGGAGGGGTGCGGAGTGGGGTGTCTTGTGGGCCTCTTGGACTGTCTCAGAGCGCTCTGGGATCCACAGGCGCCTACGGAGGCTGTCTTGGAGGGCTCTGTGGGACGTCGTGGGGCGATCCTGGGGGCTTCTTGGGCCATCTTGGAGGCCTTGTTGGGATGTCTTGCGGCGATTTTGGAGTTCTCTGAGGCCGTCGTGGACGCTACGAATAAAAAACGAATATGCCAAAGATAGACGCCTTCCCCGAGGAATTGGGGCGATGTGCGCTTCTTGCGGCCCTCATAAGTGTCCTCCTGGAGCCCTCTTGAAGGGCTTGGGGAGCCTCTCGGGCCGTCTTGAAGCCATCTTGGGCGTCCTGACGCGCTATTGAACCGTCTCGCAAGCCTGCTGGACTGCCTGCAGGAGCGCCTCCGGGCCCTCCGAGAGCCCCCCGAGGGCCCGCAGTGAGTCCCGGACCCCGGGCCCACGAAGGAGGGGGGGAGGGAGGGAGGGAGGGAGGGAGGGGGGAGGGAGGGAGGGGGGGAGGGAGGGAGGGAGGGAGGGAGGGAGGGAGGGAGGGAGGGAGGAGAAGGAGGAGGAGGAGGAGGAGGAGGAGGAGGAGGAGGAGGAGGAGGGGGGAGTTATGGAGAAGTGGGCCGCCTCGGGCCACAGGGGCCTGGTCGCGGGGTCCGCCTGGTGACGGGCAACTATGATGAGCGCTTGCGAGATGCAGTCAGAGCCAGCTTGAGCCAAAAATGGCGGGCCGCCTTGGGGCCCTCTTGGGGATATCTTGGGTGCCTCTGGGGCCTCTTGGGGGCACTCTTTGGGCCGTCTTGGGGCTCTATGTTGCGCCGTCGTGGCGCCTTCTTTGGGTGCCTGGTGGGCCGTCCTGAGCTGCTTTCCGGGGCCTCGCAGGCTGTTTTGAACCGTCGGAAGCACGAAACAGCGAGAACACGAACAACTTTCAAAAACCATTGAGAACATCTACTTGTTTCGCCTTCTGAGTGCCTCGTGGGAGCCCTTTTGAGGGCATCTTGGCCATCTTGAAGCCCTCTTGGGCTGTCTTCAGGCCGTGCTGGACCAATTTTGAAACGCTCTTGTGCGGTCTTGGGCTCTCTTGGAGCGCTCTTGGGCCATCTTGGCGCCCTATTGCCCTATTGGACGTCTCTCGGCCCCCTTTGACGTTTTGGCGCACCCCGCCAGGCCCGAAATGGCCGGAAGACAAATCAGTGCACTTCGGGGGGCCCTGGACATGCTGCGATGCGGATAAAGAAGAGTAAGTGAAAAAGGAGGCGGAGGAGAAGCAGCAGCAGCCAGTGAGGAAGCAGGCGGACGAGCGAGGATGAGCAGGATTTGCCAATGGACGACTCTGAGCTCTACACTCCCGAACTTCAACGACTGCGGGTGTTCGTCGCGCACGGCCTGAGCTAGGAAATGGAAGCCAGCCGTGCCTGTCGCCTCCAGTCACGCACCTGTGACTCGTGACGAGGGTCCGCCGTCCGCGCGAAATCGATTCGCGCGAAAACTGCGGGCCGTTCGAAAGAAATCCGCTGGGCGCGCGCGCGCGCGAAAAGAACCCACGGCAGCCCAGAAGATGGCGGGAACCATGATTTGGGAACCATGATGGCGGGAACCATGATTTTGGAGAGATCCAGGCCGGAAAAGCCCGAAATCGTGGTTCCCAGCTCTGGTTGGCGCCCCTGGGACCCCCGGCGGCCCCGAGGATGGCGGGAACCATGATTTTGGAGAGATCCAGGCCGGAAAAGCCCGAAATCGCGGTTCCCAGCTCTGGCTGGCGCCCCTGGGGCCCACGGCGGCCCCGAGGATGGCGGGAACCATGATTTTGGAGAGATCCAGGCCGGAAAAGCCCGAAATCGTGTTCCCAGCTCTGGCTGGCGCCCCTGGGGCCCACGGCGGCCCCGAGGATGGCGGGACATGATTTTGGTGAGATCCAGGCCGGAAAAACCCGAAATCGTGGTTCCCAGCTCTGGCCGGCGCCCCTGGGGCCCACGGCGGCCCCGAGGATGGCGGGAACCATGATTTTGGAGAGATCCAGGCCGGAAAAGCCCGAAATCGTGGTTCCCAGCTCTGGCTGGCGCCCCTGGGGCCCACGGCGGCCCCGAGGATGGCGGGAACCATGATTTTGGAGAGATCCAGGCCGGAAAAGCCCGAAATCGTGGTTCCCAGCTCTGGCTGGCGCCCCTGGGCCCACGGCGGCCCCGAGGATGGCGGGAACCATGATTTTGGAGAGATCCAGGCCGGAAAAGCCCGAAATCGTGGTTCCCAGCTCTGGCTGGCGCCCCTGGGGCCCACGGCGGCCCCGAGGATGGCGGGAACCATGATTTTGGAGAGATCCAGGCCGGAAAAGCCCGAAATCGTGGTTCCCAGCTCTGGCTGGCGCCCCTGGGACCCACGGCGGCCCCGAGGATGGCGGGAACCATGATTTTGGAGAGATCCAGGCCGGAAAAGCCCGAAATCGTGGTTCCCAGCTCTGGCTGGCGCCCCTGGGACCCACGGCGGCCCCGAGGATGGCGGGAACCATGATTTTGGAGAGATCCAGGCCGGAAAAGCCCGAAATCATGGTTCCCAGCTCTGGCTGGCGCCCCTGGGACCCACGGCGGCCCCGAGGATGGCGGGAACCATGATTTTGGAGAGATCCAGGCCGGAAAAGCCCGAAATCATGGTTCCCAGCTCTGGCTGGCGCCCCTGGGGCCCACGGCGGCCCCGAGGATGGCGGGAACCATGATTTTGGAGAGATCCAGGCCGGAAAAGCCCGAAATCGTGGTTCCCAGCTCTGGCTGGCGCCCCTGGGACCCACGGCGGCCCCGAGGATGGCGGGAACCACGATTTTGGAGAGATCCAGGCCGGAAAAGCCCGAAATCGTGGTTCCCAGCTCTGGCTGGCGCCCCTGGGACCCACGGCGGCCCCGAGGATGGCGGGAACCACGATTTTGGAGAGATCCAGGCCGGAAAAGCCCGAAATCGTGGTTCCCAGCTCTGGCTGGCGCCCCTGGGGCCCACGGCGGCCCCGAGGATGGCGGGAACCATGATTTTGGAGAGATCCAGGCCGGAAAAGCCCGAAATCGTGGTTCCCAGCTCTGGCTGGCGCCCCTGGGACCCACGGCGGCCCCGAGGATGGCGGGAACCATGATTTTGGAGAGATCCAAGCCGGAAAAGCCCGAAATCGTGGTTCCCAGCTCTGGCTGGCGCCCCTGGGACCCACGGCGGCCCCGAGGATGGCGGGAACCATGATTTTGGAGAGATCCAGGCCGGAAAAACCCGAAATCGTGGTTCCCAGCTCTGGCTGGCGCCCCTGGGACCCACGGCGCCCGAGGATGGCACGGGCGGGGGGGGGGAACCATGATTTTGGAGAGATCCAGGCCGGAAAAGCCCGAAATCGTGGTTCCCAGCTCTGGCTGGCGTCCCTGGGGCCCACGGCGGCCCCGAGGATGGCGGGAACCATGATTTTGGAGAGATCCAGGCCGGAAAAGCCCGAAATCGTGGTTCCCAGCTCTGGCTGGCGCTCCTGGGACCCACGGCGGCCCCGAGGATGGCGGGAACCACGATTTTGGAAAGATCCAGGCCGGAAAAGCCGTGGTTCCCAGCTCTGGCTGGCGCCCCTGGGGCCCACGGCGGCCCCGAGGATGGCGGGAACCACGATTTTGGAGAGATCCAGGCCGGAAAAGCCCGAAATCGTGGTTCCCAGCTCTGGCTGGCGCCCCTGGGACCCACGGCGGCCCCGAGGATGGCGGGAACCATGATTTTGGAGAGATCCAGGCCGGAAAAGCCCGAAATCGTGGTTCCCAGCTCTGGCTGGCGCCCCTGGGCCCACGGCGGCCCCGAGGATGGCGGGAACCATGATTTTGGAGAGATCCAGGCCGGAAAAGCCCGAAATCGTAGTTCCCAGCTCTGGCTGGCGCCCCTGGGGCCCACGGCGGCTTGGAGAGATCCAGGCCGGAAAAACCCGAAATCGCGGTTCCCAGCTCTGGCTGGCGCCCCTGGGACCCACGGCGGCTCCGAGGATGGAGGGAACCATGATTTTGGTGAGATCCAAGCCGGAAAAGCCCGAAATCGTGGTTCCCAGCTCTGGCTGGCGCCCCTGGGACCCACGGCGGCTCCGAGGATGGCGGGAACCATGATTTTGGAGAGATCCAGGCCGGAAAAGCCCGAAATCGTGGTTCCCAGCTCTGGCTGGCGCCCCTGGGACCCACGGCGGCCCGAGGATGGCGGGAACCATGATTTTGGAGAGATCCAGGCCGGAAAAACCCGAAATCGTGGTTCCCAGCTCTGGCTGGCGCCCCCTGGGGCCACGGCGGCCCCGAGGATGGCGGGAACCATGATTTTGGAGAGATCCAGGCCAGAAAAGCCCGAAATCGTGGTTCCCAGCTCTGGCTGGCGCCCCTGGGGCCCACGGCGGCCCCGAGGATGGAGGGAACCATGATTTCTGGAGTTCTCTGCTGTTCTGCTGCTGCTCTCTGCTGTTCTGCTGCTGCTGTCTGCTGTTCTGCTGCTGCTCTCTGCTGCTGCTGCTGCTGTCTGCTGTTCTGCTGCTGCTGTCTGCTGTTCTGCTGCTGCTCTCTGCTGTTCTGCTGCTGCTCTCTGCTGTTCTGCTGCTGCTCTCTGCTGTTTCTGCTGCTGCTCTCTGCTGCTCTCTGCTGTTCTGCTGCTGCTCTCTGCTGCTCTCTGCTGTTCTGCTGCTGTCTCTGCTGCTCTCTGCTGTTCTGCTGTGCTGTTCTGCTGCTGCTGTCTGCTGTTCTGCTGCTGCTCTCTGCTGCTCTCTGCTGCTGCTCTCTGCTGTTCTCTGCTGTTCTCTGCTGCTCTCTGCTGTTCTCTGCTGTTCTCTGCTGCTCTCTGCTGCTGTTCTCTGCTGTTCTCTGCTGCTCTCTGCTGTTCTCTGCTGTTCTCTGCTGCTCTCTGCTGCTCTCTGCTGCTCTCTGCTGTTCTCTGCTGTTCTCTGCTGCTCTCTGCTGCTCTCTGCTGCTCTCTGCTGTTCTCTGCTGTTCTGCTGCTGCTCTCTGCTGTCTGCTGCTGCTCTCTGCTGCTCTCTGCTGTGCTCTGCTGTCTGCTGTTCTCTGCTGCTCTCTGCTGTTATGCTGCTGTTCTCTGCTGTTCTGCTGCTGCTCTCTGCTGTTCTGCTGCTGCTCTCTGCTGTTCTGCTGCTGCTCTCTGCTGCTGCTTCTCTGCTGCTCTCTGCTGCTCTCTGCTGTTCTCTGCTGTTCTCTGCTGCTCTCTGCTGCTCTCTGCTGTTCTCTGCTGTTCTGCTGCTCTCTGCTGCTCTCTGCTGTTCTCTGCTGTTCTCTGCTGCTCTCTGCTGCTCTCTGCTGCTCTCTGCTGTTCTCTGCTGCTCTCTGCTGCTCTCTGCTGCTCTCTGCTGCTCTCTGCTGTTCTCTGCTGTTCTCTGCTGCTCTCTGCTGCTCTCTGCTGTTCTCTGCTGTTCTCTGCTGCTCTCTGCTGCTCTGGATTGGTTTTCGCTCGGTTGGTTTTCGCTTGAACGGATTACCTTTTCGCTCGAACGAGCGTCTTTTCGCTTGAACGATCCACCCTCGTGACTTGCAGTTCTTGGAATGTCTGCGTACCGGATGACGCCCAGGACAGGGTTTGGGACTGGCTTTGAGCGGAGTTTGTATCGAGGAAGAGCGAGCAAATAACACCTCCAGAACTATCGCAATCAGCCATGGTCCTCCCTGGCAGCGTCGAGCCCAGTCCTTCTCCAATTTCCAGCTCGGGGAGGCATCGTGCATCGCCCTACCGGAGGTGGCACACACGTGGTGGTGGTGTCGCTTGTCTCCCCTCCGGTACAAGTACAGTCAAGCTGCTGCAGTAAGGAGGCCTTAATTAGGAACGAAGCCCCACTCTGGCACTAAAAGAAGCTAGGCGCACGAAGAGGGCCACAGGAACAACCACGGAATGTCCTGGGGAACAACGTACCCCTTCCGAACCCAAAGCGGTCCTAGTTTCAGCGTCTTGACTGTTGGGCGCTGATGACGAATGTGACAAGCAAATGGGAGGAAACGAATGACGAGGACGAGACAACGGAGAGGAAGCAGGAGGGTGTGTGGAGGAGCAGGATGGGGATGAGCTTCACAGCTCTGTCCAAGAAGAACACCAATGATGCCATGACGAAAACGGGATTGAAAATAGGACCACGCTGAGGAAACGAAATCGAGTTGGGGTGGAAGCTCGAGAATGCGAGAAAGCGAACAACATTGAAAACATTATATCGAAAATACAGGACTTCGACCTCTTCGGGCTCTCTCGAGACGCCTCTCGGAGCTCTCTTGGGGCGTCTGGAAGACCTCTTGGGCTGTGTATTTGCCGTGTTGGGCCTATCTGAGGCCACGTTGGGGCCATCTGGACCGTCTTGGATCGCCTTGCCGCCTCCCGCTCGCGCTCTGTGGCCCAGCTTGGGCCTGACCTGGCTCTCTTGGCTTGGGCCGTCTGGGGCTCCTCCTGGGCAATGTTCGAACTCCTGCCGTCTCGGGGCTCTTTTCGGGGCCTCTTCGGCGGTCTTGGGGCGGTCTCGGGGGCGCCGTCGGCCGTCCTGGAGCGTGGGAAGGTCGAAAACGCGAGAGACGGAAAAGCATTAAAAAACACATGAAAATCATTGAGTCTCCTTGAAGACCTCTTGGGCTGTGTGTGTATTTGCCATGTTGGGCCATCTGAGGCCACTTTGGGGCCATCTGGGCCGTCTTGGAGCGGCTTGGCGCCTCCCGCTCGCGCTCTGTGGCCCAGCTTGGGCCTGACCTGGGGCTCTCTTGGGCCGTCTGGGGCTCCTCCTGGGCAATGTTCGAACTCCTGCCGTCTCGGGGCTCTTTTCGGGGCCTCTTCGGCGGTCTTGGGGCGGTCGTGGGGGCGTCGTCGGTCGTCCTGGAGCGTGGGAAGGTCGAAAACGCGAGAAACGGAAAAACATTAAAAAAAAACACATGAAAATCATTCAGTCCTCTTGAAGACCTCTTGGGCTGTGTATTTGCAATGTTGGGCCATCTGAGGCCACTTTGGGGCCATCTGGGCCGTCCTGGGCCATCTGGGCCGTCGAACTCCCTGGTGCCGTCTCGGGACTCTTTCGGGGGCCTCTTCGGCGGTCTTGGGGCGGTCTTGGGGGCGTCGTCGGTCGTCCTGGAGCGTGGAAGGTCCGAAACCCGAGAACCCGAAAAACAGAAAACAAACAAATTGAAAAACAATGATTTGGGCCTCTTCGGGCTCTCTCGGGAGGCTTCTCGGAGCTCTCTTGAGGCCTATTGAAGGCCTCTTGGGGTGTGTCTTTGCGTTCTCGAACCCATCTTGGGCCAAATTGGGGTTATCTGGGCTTTCTTGGAGGGGCTTGTTGAAGTCCCCGAGAGCTTCTGGGAGCTCTCTGGGGTAGTCTGGGAGCTCCAGGGCCGCTCCGGGGTGCTCTGGGAGCGGTCTGGGAAGCCCCGGTCCTCCCATGCCCGCCTGTGAGGGCCCCGGGCGCCTGGGCCTCGTGCACGGGGATACATATACATGCATATATATATATATAGGAATGCATATATGTATGACGATATATGTATGTATAAATATATGAATATGAATATATATATATATATATATATTATATTATATATATATATATATATGTATGTATATATATGTATACATAATACTCATACAAATATACACATATAAAGATACACACATGATTGTATAGGTATAGCTGTACATACATATACGTATATATGTGTGTGGCTGGGGAACACACTTTATATATGTATATATGTGTATCTGCTTGTGCCTGCCGTGCCGAGAGCTATCAGGTCGTCGCGCCCCGCAAGGCGCCAGGGGATCTGCGGGGCGCCCGCCTCCCGCGGCTGCTGCGTCGGCCGCCGCTGAGCCAGCTGACCTCGCCGAGGCTCATGCGAATCACGTGCGAGGCCTCCGGCGTCTGGCTGGGGGCGGGGAGCCAGTCCAGCCCCAGGGACGCGCGCATGCGGAGGTTCAGGCGATGCATGTGCAAGGTGCGGAAGTGGAGGGGCTCCTCGAAGGTGGTGGGGGCGTCCCCGCCTGGATTGTGGAAGTGCAGATCCTGCACGAACGAGATCAACTTTTCCCGTTGGCCGCCCGACACCAGCGGGAGGAAATCGACCTCCTCCTCTTTGGACGCCCGAAATGGGCACGGACAAAAAAGGGCACAATGCCCAACAACACATGCTGTCCCAAACCAGCAGCGGCCGCTGTTGGGCAGGCGACCTTCTGTCTCGAGTGGGCACAGGCCGCGGCGGCGCGGACAGCGAGTCCTGATCAAAAGGAACAGGAACTGCTGCTGGGCATTGCACCCAATCTTTCCGTACCCGCTTCGCTCGCGCCGATCCTCCGCGAGCCCTATGCACTGCTTGAGCGCGTCGGTGACGCCCACGATCTGCCACTCGGGGCTCATCAGATCCACCCAGGCGCTGAGCTCGGCACCCTGCAGGACCTCGTAGGACGAGCTGCCGACCGACGAGGACGAGACCGAGCGGGCGAGCCGGGCCTCAGCACCCTGCTCGGCCGCCTCACGCTTCGGCACGCCGCGCGTGATCGTCGGCGCCAGCGCGGCGGGGCCGAGGCCCCGCCTCGGCTCGCGCTGGCAGCTGCCTCCGCGGAGCTCCGAGTCGGACTGCTCGCGGATGCCCACCAGGTACGAATCCTGCCCCTCCCTGTTCGAGAATCGCACCACGAAGACCTCGACCTCCAGCGTGATCCAGGCACTGTCCCTCATGGAAACGTGGAAGGCGACGCTCAGGCGTGGCTGCTCGCCCCCTGGCTGTCCGGTGGACGTGGTGTGCTCGTGGAACTTGGCGCCGTCCTCGGCAGACGCCAGGAAGTTGCGCACGTCCTCGTGCTGCAGGGACCGGTTCTGGTTGAGAAACAGCATGTTCCGCAACTCTGGCGAGTCCATTCTGAGCCGTAGCATGTCGTCCACCTCCACGACCACGTCGCAAACGCTCCGCAGTACGGACTGGGCGGCGGCCAGCTCGTTGCGCGAGGAATAGGCATCGAGCTCCAGCTGCGTCAGCTGATGCAACAATCTATCAACAGCTGCCAAGCAAAGTACAGAAAGGACGGAAATCGTTAAAAGTTGCAGCGCCCCTCTAAAAGGGTCGGCGCTGGCACACTCGTCACAGCCTCGCTCACCAACAGCAAGATTGAAGCAAGCCATCGCGTTGATCGCAAATATCCAGCACGCATTCAGCCATGGTTTCAAATTCACGACACTCAAACCAAGAGCCACGACCCAGGTAGCATTGGAAAAAACCAAGACTGTGTCTGCATAAACTGCAAGAGGAGACACTGTGAAGCTCAGAATAGCCATCATCGCCGAGTATATCCAGTCGACAGACTCTTGTGTGACTGAGGACGGTGCGATCCATAAGACCATCAAAATTACAGAGTTTGCGAGTGAGCAGCCCTTCTGCAAAAAAGATGTGGGCAGAGTGCCGCCGAACCACTGGGCTGCGATCGAGACCATACCACCGAAGTGCGCATGTGCCAGCAGCTGCTTTGCCAGCTTCAACTTTTTCTTCTTGAGCTCCTGCGAGGGACAACGTTAGAGGGGTAACGGCTCAGGGGGGGAGACATCGACCTGACATCGGCGACACGTTGCGGACAGGTCGGCGATAGGCTTCCGATGGCAGACCTGCTCGCCCTCAGGCAGGGTGGGCTGTCGGGCCCCCATCGGCGATCCATGGGAGATAGGGAGTCGACGCGCCCACCCCCTGAGCCCCCCCCCCAGACGCTGCCCCTGCTCTTGAACAGGGACCGACCGTCCCGGCATTTCTATCGGCCTACCACGAAATCTTCTTAGAACCCAAAACGTTCTGAGAACAGAAACAATGGTCTTAGAACAGACGCCCGATGTGCTAGAACAAGACAGTCCCAGCCAGAAATGTTCTAAGGACATCTCGCGCAGACCACAAAAAGTTCTTAGAACATTCTTGGGTGGGCCTACAGGCGAGCCAGGACGCTTCGCCACTGCTTGATGCTCCTGCTCTGCGACGTCCGAGCCCCCGTCCTCCTTGCCGGGCTCCGGGGCCCGCCGGGCCCGCCTCAGCAGCGCCGCGAGCCACTGCGGCAGGCCCGAGGTCCGCGCGCTCGACCGCAGCGCCGCGCAGACGCCGAGCAGCAGGTAGGCGCAGCCGGCCCCGAAGAGGACGCGCTCGGCGTCCTCCGCGATGTGCAACACGCGAACGTTCACGTCCATGTCCAGTCCGCCCCGCCGGGGCCGCCGGCGTGCATGCGGCTCCCGGGGGCGCGGCGCGCCCGAAGATGCGAGCGGCTGAAGACCTCGAGCCCGCACCGAGCCAGGGAGGAGGGAGCAGGAAGGGCAGAGGAGGGGGGGGATACAGACCACGAGGGCGAGGAGGCGAAGCCCAAGGGGGGGTCGATTGACCCTGGCAATGGTGAGATAGAAGAGAGAAATATGGGATACCTTTGTCAGTACATGCAAAGGAAACAGTAAACCTGGACGCGTCCTTGAGTCAAACGTTTACGGCGGTCGGGGCCCTACACTACACACACATAACATACAAGAGAGAGAGGCATACGTGCTATCTGCTGCATTGCGACTCTGGTATCACTCCTCATCATCGCAGGCCCGCCTGAGCCTAGATGACGTCCGCATAGAACATCAGGCAGGCGCTGAGGAGGACCAGAACATGATGACATACTCGTACATCATGAAGTCCCCGTCCGGGACGAAAGAGCGGCCGATCTCGAAGAGACAAGCCGCGAAAAGATAAACATCCTACCTCAAAGACATATCCTGCGTTCACGCCGAGGTCGACTTCGTCGATCTGTCTGGGCAGCTCCAGGAGTGTAACTGTTCTCTTATTGATATCCTCCATCTGCCCGTTGAGAAAGCCTCCAGGATCGACGACCTCGGCACTCCACGTTTTGTCAACGCATCACACAACATGTCACGTGTATCCACTCGATGAATCGTACTGAGACGTTTAGCTTCAAGATGCTCACGCAGCGCTCGCACTCCATATATTAGTTGTCTCTCTGTCGGGGTCGATATCTCCTGAGCCGTAACCGCAGCGAACACCGAGTGGGCATCCAACACCAAGTGAAGATCAAGTCCACAAGGGCCATCAACTGCCGCATACAATGACACCGCCGATTGTGCACCACGCAACCACTCCGTCATGAATCCATTCAGTAGCATACCGTACTCCGTGGCCTCGATCGCATTGTTGAATTCTGCACTGAACGTGCCACGATTTACCTTCGCCTGCTTTCTTGAGAAATACTCCCAAACATGAAAACATCCTGGTGGCGTTGAACCTCGTACTTCACACAAACCGATAATTGCTGCTCTTAATGCCAAACAATCCACATCATCCACACGATACGCACTGTCTGCAATAATTGTCATGCATAGTGGTGATGACGGTCTGCTAAAGTGAATCGTGGAAGGAACTCGTTTTATCCATTTCAATACTTTGTTGAGGTCCTTCAAATCCGATATCTTCACATCCTTCATATTGCGTTGCAACTTACCAACATATACCACAATATCTGCTCGTGTAAGAACCATCCAAGCAACACCACCCAACGAAGACATGTATAAACTGACCTGCTCATCGTTCGCCTTATCAGTGTCATTTTGCTTCTCAAACATTGTTGTAGGTATTGGTTTCAACTGCGTCACATAATGATTCTGGTCCATAGTGCACTCCATAGTCTTTGGATCCTGTCGATGCTGAATACCAACGCACTCAAAGGGTGCCTCGATCAACTCGCACTTGCCATATTTGGCTTCCAGCCTCTGAAACAGCTCCGTACGAGTGTCTTCCTCACAAGCTCCTTTGAAATCGTCCACGTGCGTCGCCAGAACTCCGAGCGGTACCACTCCATTCTTAACGTATGGTTTACCCGTGATAGGACAGTTGCCGTCGTCGTTCTTTGCCTTGCGATGTTTGATATACAACTGTGTGTCCGCTCGAGCTGGCTGCCATCGTGCTTCAACTAGAGTCTCAGTAAGAGCCATACTCCATGACCAAGGTGCATCTTTAGTTCCAAATCCTGGCTTGTTCATGTCTAGCACCTCGGTGATCTCACTGAAATCATGGAAACCTTCAATTTGTCTAAGCAAAATTATCCCGGCAAAGCAACCTAACAGCGATGTGTAGAAGCATATCTGAAAGCATTCCCCTTAAGATTCAGATGAACATCCAGTTGTCGAATTCTGCTGTTCTCGCAGTCGTAGTCGCATTCGCGATGACAGTCGCAGCGGCAACGGCAGTCGCAGTCACAGCCTCAGCCTCAGCCTGCCTCCTCCTCCTCCTCCTCTTTCTCCTGCTCCTCCTCCTCCTCCTCCTCCTCTTCCTCCTGCTCGTCCTCGTTCTCGTCCTCCTCGTCTTGCTCGTCCTCCTCCTCCTGGTGCTCTCTCCTCCTCCTCCTCCTCCTCCTCCTCCCTCCTCCTCCTCCTGGTGGTCCTCGTTCTCCTCCTCCTGGTGCTCTCCCCCCCCTCCTCCTCCTCGTCCTCCTCCTCCTCCTCCTCGTCCTCCTCCTCCTCTCCTCCTCCTCCTCCTCCTCCTCCTCCTCCTGGTAGTCCTCCCCCTCCCCTCCTCCTCCTCCTCCTCCTCCTCTTCCTGGTCGTCCTCGTTCTCGTCCTCCTCGTCTTGCTCGTCCTCCTCCTCCTGGTGTCCTCCTCCTCCTCCTCCTCCTCCTCCTCCTCCTGGCTCGTCCTCCTCCTCCGTTCTCCTCCTCCTCTCTCCTCCTCCTCCTCCCTCCTCCTCCTCCTCCTCCTCCTCCTCCTCCTCTCCTCCTCCTCCTCCTCCTCCCTCTCCTCCTCCTCCTCCTCCTCCTCCTCTCCTCCTCCTCCTCCTCTTCCTGGTCGTCCTCCTCCTCCTGGTCGTCCTCCTCCTCCTGCTCGTCCTCCTCCTCCTCCTGCTCGTCCTTCTTCTCCTGCTCCTCCTGCTCCTCGTCCTGCTCCTGCTCGTCCTCGTCCTCCTGGTCTTGCTCGTCCTCCTCCTCGTCGTGCTCTTGCCCCTGCTGAAAATGTGGCCCAGGAATGGGAGTTCTGGGAAGTCGAAGAGCACGAAGTTGCCTACAGTTGGCTACGGGCATTCAAAATGTGGCCCGGGAATGGAGTTCTGGGAACTCGAAGAGCACGAAGTGGCCTACAGTTGGCTCCGGGCATTCAAAATGTGGCCCGGGAATGGAGTTCTGGGAACTCGAAGAGCACGAAGTGGCCTACAGTTGGCTCCGGGCATTCAAAATGTGGCCCGGGAATGGAGTTCTGGGAACTCGAAGAGCACGAAGTGGCCTACAGTTGGCTCCGGGCATCCAAAATGTGGCCCGGGAATGGAGTTCTGGGAACTCGAAGAGCACGAAGTGTGTGACTGTTGCATCCGGTTATTCTAAAATGTGGCCCGGGAATGGCGTTCTGGGATCTCGAAGAGCACGAAGTGTGTGACTGTTGCATCCGGGTATTGAGAATGTGGCCTGGGAATGGAGTTCTGGGAAGTCGAAGAGCACGAAGTGTGTGACTGTTGGTGAAAAACGAGCCCGGCACCTGCCGCCCGGCAACTCCCAACACCTGCCCGGACCCCCCTGTGGAGTGATCTGCTGCTCTCTTTTGATCCCACTAGAAACCTATCAGTCTTCGCTGTTAGGTAACATTGGCTCCTGCCGGCAACTCGCACTGGATGGATCGTAACTTTGTGCCCGTCTCGGCGGCGATCTGCTTGAAAGTCTTGCCTCTCAGAAATGCCATAGAAATATCAGTAGACCACAGCTTCCATTGATACATGGTCGCCATCGAGCACACCGTTCTCTGTCCCCACCTAGATGCTGTGCCAGCAAATGTAGTGAGAGACTCTGCTTGTCGATCTTTAAATCCGCGAACCGTTAACCTTGCTTTGATCTTGCGTACGCCACCGATCAGCTTCCATTTGAGCACCCATCGACTGTCAACTAAGTTAGTTGCCGTCTTGCGTGCCATCCGGTTGAACATGCCCATGCCGCACCAACGCTGCAGTTCCAAGAGACATGCTTCGGCCACGTCGCGTGCATATTTCTTGAGCTCGTCCGGAGTTAATATGTTCATTTCTCGCTCAATCACCGCTTCCGTGTAACATCCCATGTTGTCATAACGATGCACCAAAACGTAGCCCTCCAACACCTCCTCGTCACAACAGTTGAGTGCTGCATATGCATCCATGGCCAATTCAAGATTGTCGTCGTACTTGTCATCAGCCTGACAAGGTAGAACTGGAAAACATTGCCCAGGTATTTGCACATCCGGTGATTGATCTCGTTGACAAACGCCGCTCCAGAAAGCCTCCTCATCTATGCACTCGAAGAACTCCTCGTCTGAGATCTCGTCTTGATGATCATCACCGTGGTCAGAGAGGCGCTGCGAAACATGAGGACGTGGGTTGCCACTGTCCTCGGATCCCGGCGTCAGTGCTCTCTTGAGACCGCCTTCATCTGGCAGCCTTGGAGCGAGGTGTGGTGCCGGGTTGTCGCTGCCATCTGAGCCTTCTGAGAGAGACCGCTTGACGCCATTCCATCGAGGCATGAGGTAGCCCTCCTGCTGGTCGAAGTTGTCGTCCATTCCGCCAACGTGAGCCACCCCTGGAGTCTGTCTGCGTGCCTGTCGAGCTTCGTCGTCGTTGACAATCATAAACTGCAGAAAGGGTACGTTCGGCCATATGTCGCCAAACAAATACGAAGACGATACTCTCTGACTGCTCGGTATTTGAATCCAAGACCAGTCCTCACGACGTCTAACTGGCCACCACATAACCACTGATCCTTCAATACCTGGCATCGCCTCAAGATAACGTACTCCATGTCCAACTCGAACGCCTATGCGTCCCATGAGCTGTAAGTGACATGATGCCGTTACAAACGCTGCTCTCATTGGTCCCGGAAACCGTTGACCATCTTTGCTTATCGTCCAGCCATGCTTGCTGGAGAAGACGCATCCGAAATACAAACTGCCTTGCTCAATGCCTTCTGCGAAGTTCATGATATACTCCGTAGGCATTCGTAAATACTCCTGCGCATGAGGTTCGACAAATAATGTCCACAGCACAACCGCACGTCGAACTTCAGGTAGGCGCACTTGCATATTCCTGCTTTGCCATCGTACTCCTATCGTACCTTCTCGAAGTCGGGTGAGATCTGTCACGACAGCGGGTCCACGCCAGCCGCTGAGATCTTTATTAGGAGGGTCGCGGTAAATGTCCACTTCGCCACCTATCTTGAGCTCCAGTAGCTCGCCGGCGGGCCTGGTCCGAGAGTTGAGTGCTCTCGATAGCCTGTCCGACGCGGTGCCCTGGATGATCGCTGACATAGCCGCCTCGCGTAATCGATGTATGCGCCTCGAGATGCCTGCCAAGCCGTCGCTGCTGTCAGCCAACTGCGTCTCCGAACTCGGTTCGAAATCTCGCAACATGTTGGGCGTCCGTCCAAACAGTCCTTTGTACGGGGTCGCTCCATGCACCGCCAATAAACAATTCTTTGCCAACACTGATTCATCAACTATCGCTTGTGGTGGAAGGCAATGCCATCCCTTTCCATCTGACTGTTAACTCTGTGAATCGCATCTCGCCAGAAAGAATTGTGACGTTCCACTATCCGCGCATGTGCTCCTCGAGGTCGTAGATTGAGTTGGATACTCCACCGATCTGCCCATGCTGATGCAATCTCACTGTCAAGTGCCCCCTCTTTGTCACTCGTAAGTACTCGCATGGGGCCGAAGATCCTGATCCATATGTGCGAAATCCCGTTGAGAATGTCTTGTGGCGAGCGGCTGTCGATGATGAGTGCTGCCGACCATCTGATGCAACAGTCCACTAGGTGCAGCACTGTGTGGGTACTCCAAAACATGAGATCCACTTCAACCTCTGAGTTGAAGTCTACCACGATCTTGGTCTTAGATATTGGTCGCACTCCAATATGCTGCCACTGTCTGCATACTGGACATGTATCAACAACCGCTGCCACCACATCGATAGCCTCAGGAGGAGCTCCTGCTGCTCGAAGAAGTTCTTTCATGCGTTCAATGGGAGCGTGCCAAAGTCTAATGTGCAACTTCCGCACCGTCCGTCGCACCACCAGTGGATCAAGTGATTTGAGAAGCTTCAGCGCCCGTCCAGCTGACCAGTCCGACCAATCAGCTCCATCAGGGTCTGCTTGAGTGCCTACCGTCGCTCTGGTCGCCGCTCGATTCCTGCTGTCAGCTGCCGACGGTCGACCTGATTGTTCGGCTGAGGGCAGAGGAGGAGGCGACGGAACGATCGCTGAGGGTGCCTCAGCAGCAGCTGCTGCCTCAGCAGGTGCAGGAGCTGCCGCCGCGGCTGCTTCTTCAAGTTCACCAAGTCGTCCACCTCCCCGTTCAGCACTAGATGGGTCCGGAGCTGCGCCCACTACTCGAGGTGGTCGAGGAAGTACTGCCGCAGATCCACCGCCACGTTGTGCTGCCCATTTCCATCTGCATCGCTCGTCATTCAAATGGTCTCGATGGTTCCGCGGCTTCCCAGTGTTACACCCAGGACATTCCTCACCCATGGCCTTCACGTTGGGATACTTGCAATTACCACGTCGTGTATGTGTGGGGTCATGAGCAGAGCGATTTCCGTCACATGCTGGGCACCTGTTGGGATTTGCTCGTCCGACCCTTGCCTTCGCTGCTGCCGCCGGTGCTGATGATGCTGCCGCCGCCGGTGCCGATGATGATGCCGCCGTCGGTGCCGATGATGACAATGCGGCCGCACCTGAAGAGGCCGCCTGAGATGACGACGGAGGCCGTGGCCTGGGTCGTTCAGGGTCTTCACCTTCATCTCGATCTCGTGCTCCTGTGGCCATTTCGGGGTAATAGCGAGCCATTGATCGTCGCTCAGGATGCTGTCTCCAATAACGTCTCACAACACAAGCTACACCACTCGCGATGTGACCAGCCAACTTCCACGGCCACACCTGCATTCGCCTCGAGATAGAGCCATCAATATGTCTGTGCTCGGCACACGCCCTGCGTCCTTCGCATCGTAGCCGTCGTAGCGCATACACCAGTGCCTCACAGCTGGCCACGAAATGCGTCGGTTTCTTTACAGGCAATCGTGCATGAGGACAACGAAGCCCAGCTTGACATTGATGCACGGTGACCTCTGCTGCTTCTGCCAGTGCTCTCAATTCTTTCCAAATAGGTATGTCATACAACTCTGATCCCACTGGCTGCTCTACAAGATAATGCCGTCCGTGTCGTACTTGATACAATGCAACTTCACCGCATAGATGTCCAAGTGGTTCTGATATCTGCCTTGACGCTGCATGAGCCACTGGATTCATCATTCGATTGAAAGTTGCCCATCCTGCTAGTCCCCGACACGGAGGGGACATCACTACCACCACTGGCTGACATACTCCAAGATACTTCCACATGGCTGCTCGTTCCTTTGAGTTAAACAAATCAACATTACACTGCATGTCGAAGTTCTTGCCTGCCTGAGGTCCCTCGTGATGCTTTCGTCTTAGTAGCATCTTGGTCGTACGTCCTTCACCTCCCATGATTTCCGCGATGTCCGTGAACCGATGTTGCTGAGCGTCCGCCAACCAGTACTGCAACATGCTACCGAGATTATCGAAGGTGAGGTAGATTTCATTAACGCGTTTGCCCGGGATCCTCGTAGTCAACTCCTCTGCCTGATCGTTTCCGTACCACATGCCACCTTCACAAGAGAAATGCAGCGCCGAGCTCCAGTCCATCTCGTGATGTACTCCATCCAACTGCCAACTCTGTTGATGTAAGTCCGTAGTAACCCCATCCATCCACATGTCTTGAACTTCGAGGTCGATGGAGCCCATGTCGTCGCCACAGTCGGTCCAGACCTTCTCATAGCCACTCATATTATTGCTCTTCTTCGTCTGCATACTGTCCGAACCTTCAGCTGCTGCTCGGGCCTTCGCCTCTTTGTCTTTCAGCTTTTGTCGTAGTCTAGCCTCTGCGGGATAATGTTCCTCAGTACTGTCTGCAAATCTCACCATCTTCGTCCGCGTCGTAGGAGTGTCCAAAGCTTCCCGCTCGTGATATTGCGACTCTGGTATCATATCCTCTTGTCCGCTGTTGCCTCCAGATGTCTGTCTGCATCCAACTTGCCGCCATAGTTGTGATGTGAACTCCTGGATCATGATCTGACGCGCCTCGAAGATGATCTCTGGATTTCTGGTATGATCGGAATCTTGATAATGCTGTCCGTGTCCGCAGTTATTCCACTCAGGAAACTTAATCGCACTCATGATCTTGGTGACCTGACCTGCTGGAAGTTGGTTCGGCACAATTTTCACTCCAAGTCTACACCATCGCATCGCCTGAACGTGAAGATCTGACATACTCTCCAGCCTCATGAGCCCGGAAGTCTCCCACATTGAGTTCTTCGCACTGCCTTCCAAGATAACTGCACACGATACCTTCATAGCCTCAATCATGATCTGAGCCAGATTCCACGCCCGTCGCCGTTCTCGGTTGTTGATAGCCGATGTCGGGGATCCAGATAACGTTATCCATAGTAAGTCAGGCTTCAACCTGGCCAGATCTGACATTGTTCGTTCCAATCTGGTCAAACTCATGAGACTCCTGGTGTCGTAGTGTGTGATCTGTATGTGTCGCTGTGACCGTCGTCCACAATCTGTCAGAGCTCGCTGACGAATCGAATCAATATCGTCCATGATCCAAGCTCTAAATATAAGACGTTCATGTCCAGTGCTGTCCATCAGAGAAGCTGACTGCTCCAGAAGAACACCACGAGGAGGTGAAGGGTCAGGCTCCACATCAGAAGGCCGACGCTCCACTTGCCCGGGGTCATCAACTTCACCCTCGGCTTCGAAGACATCCTTTGCAGTATAATCAAGTTGTGAATTCACTTGCGTTAGAGGTGATACTTCGTCCAGTGCTGTTGGCCTGGACGTGGACGCCGACGATGTGTCTGCGCCCGCATTCTCGCCACTGATGATCTGCTGGTCCAGTGAGAGCACCACCGGAGGTTCCACTTGAGACTGCCCCGATGCTGCTGTCGTTGACGGTACGATATTATCAATACCATCCTGGCCCAAACTCATCGATCCGCCGCGATCCTTCGTGGACAAGGGAGCGATATGCCCAGACGGCGGCTTCGCCTGGTCGCTCACCTCGTCCCCCCATCATTGACTGCTGTTGTGGAAGAGATTCAGCGTCGAAGCCAACGCCGTCGCTCCTCCAGTGTTGCTGCTGTCCAACTGCTGAAACTCACTCACAGGCAACATCAGGTGACCACTCTCAGAATCCTCCAGGTTGTAGCTCATCGTGCCCGGTGGTAACTGAATGGTAGCATCACCCGGGCCCAAGAAGTGAATGCGATTGTTGACAATGTCGAGTATTGCGCGCAACTGCCGCAACGAACGTAGCCCAAGTAGTGCTGGAATGTCCGAATCTGGCACGATAGGTGCCGTGTACACCGCTGGGGTACCTGCCGAACTGTGCTCCTGCGCTGGCAGGGCGATCGGAAATCGTCCAAATCGTGTACACTGCTGTCGTCCGTTACCTACTCCTTCCACGTTCAACACCTCGCGCATGGGACGGTACTGAGTCTGAACACCAGCCTCTGCGGCCAGCTGCTCCTGCCGCCCAGCCCACTTGTCGCCCGTGAGATCGCCATGGGCACCAGGATCAACAAGAAGACCTTCTCGCTTCGGTCCGAGCCTCGTCCGCGCATGCCATGTACCACGCTTCTCCCTCGCCTCTTTCACGCCGTGCTGCTCATAGGTCGGGAAGAAGATGTGCGACGCGCGCTGAATATACGAGCTCGATCCCGCTGGTGCTGATGCCGTCGCAGCTGCTGATGATGAAGCAACACCATTACCCTGAATAGACATGCCATGTCCACTCTGTGATGCCGGGTGTGATCCAAGTCCAAGTATAGCGGTAAGATCCCGTACTGCTTGGTCGGTCATCCGTGGTCTGTCTCCTGGGTGCTCCTGAACTCCTGGTCGATCGTCATGTTGATCGTGATCGTGGCCCTTGCTCTTGTCTTTGCCCTTCTTGCCTTTCTTGCCTTTTCCTCGTCCTCGTCGTGCATGGTCATCTTGGAGATCAGCATCTGGTACTCGTTGCCCCGGCAGTGAGGTTCGATCCGATCTCGTCATGCCGCACAATTGACTGATAGGTGATGTCTGTGATATCGTTGACGCCGCGCCGTTGTTTCCATCACCTGACCAATCCAGCGGGCTCGCTCTCGTCGTCGTCTGGCGTTGGCTGTTCAAGAGATAGTCGTCACCAGCACCACTGAATGTACCCCAAGGATTCTCATCATCGGGTACCGAAACCGCTGACCAGTGCTGGTTATCAATGTGTTCCTGTCCATCCTGCATCTGATTCGTCATGAAATGAGCTGTCGGAATATTCACACCTGCCAACAAGCCTGACTGGGGAGCATACATTGAACCAACGAATGACTGCTGTGCCGGTGCCGATCCTTGCTGATAAGACTGAGCATGGTGATGACCTTTTGGCGGGCATAGACCATCTTTGATCATGTGATTCTCTGATCCACAACCGTGGCACCGCAATATCTGTCCGTCGGGTCCGCGAGGATTGGTTCGCCGCTTGCCACCACCTTTTCGATCAAACGTGTAATGGGGTGTGGGAACAGGCGGCACCACTTGGTCATCATAATAGTTCTGTTCCAAGAACTCGCTTGACTTGTCCCCGCGAAACCCTTTCCATTGCCATGATATCCTTTTCCCGATGAAGCAAAGCCACGACCTTTTCCTTTGCGTCGTGAATGACGCCAATCAAAACGGGTAGTCTTCTTTGTGAATGTCCTCCAGCGCCTCCGTGTAACCAAGAAATCGTGCCACAACGTATCTGCGCGCAGCGAGGGGTCCACCTGTGATAAGTACGCCTCGAGCTCCGCGTGTGGTGTCTCCTCGCCGCTCGTGCCGCTGCTGCTCCAGTCGTCGTAGTCGGCCATATATCCACCAAGGGCTTCCCCAGGAGCACTCGTCTGCATCATAGACTGCATTGGATACGATTGGTGCTGCATGACTGGATACGCTGATGTGGGAGCGCCGCCCAGTGTGAGTGTACCACTGTTCTGCCAGGGGTCCGAATGCTCCCAGGGATCTGATAAGCCTGTCATTGTCGGGAAGTAGAAATTGCCCTGTCCACGCTGCATCTGAGGAGCACCACCCATCATAGATTGATTATGTCCTGCCATCGCTGCGTTATTTGCTATTCCACCGTGCTGATGTACATGACCAACTCGCCGTATGAGCCCAAGCAATTCATTGAACTGTTGATCGTCAGCCGGTAGATTGCCACGAAATCCAATCAGTAAATTCACCCACTCGGCCGGTGGGATACGAAGACCAGTCAACAATGACCAAGCAAATCCACCAGGACCCAAATCCAGATTGCCTTCAGCGCCAGCCTTGAACTGTAGACTGGCAAACCTTCCTAGTGTCGTGTCGATATATCCTCCTGGCGTCCGTCTGAAACTCATGAGCTCGGCAATCGATGAAGTCGATGTCTCAATATCGAGGGGAGCGAACTGTCGATGTAGTCCACGAAGTATGATGGCCAATCCAGTAACTTGTTTCATGCCGAGCCCATCTCCGAGATCTCTCATACCACCGTCTCTGACAACGGCTGGGTCCAGCGTGCTCACGAGTTCGCGAGCCACACCTCCAAGACGTAAGATGATCGCTGCTCCTTGAGCCTGATCTGGTAACTCACATGCCAAGGCCCACCACACAACATTCCGAGACCACTGCTTGAATGGATAGAATCTTTGCCACCTACTGTCCCAGGCTGGAGGAATCTTCAACGTGCCCATAATACTCGTCTGATCTGCCACATTGCCAAAGCCAGCCTGAGCGTTGCCCTGAGGCATCTGCATCATGATGATGAACGTGCTGTGACAGGAGTCCCGGACGTGGTGGTCGCAGTCGTAGAAGTAGCCGTGGATCGCGCCGCCTGGCGGGCGGCGAGAGGAGCCGAAGCTCCGCTACCAAGGTCGATTGACCCTGGCAATGGTGAGATAGAAGAGAAAAAGATGGGATACCTTTGTCAGTACATGCAAAGGAAACAGTAAACCTGGACGCGTCCTTGAGTCAAACGTTTACGGCGGTCGGGGCCCTACACTACACACACATAACATACAAGAGAGAGAGGCATACGTGCTATCTGCTGCATTGCGACTGGGGGTAGGAGGACGGGAAGGCGGCGCCACTTGAGACCGCACTTTGTTCGATTGCCGACCGCGCGCGCCCCGAGGTGCGAGACCAGGTGGGTTCATAGTTCGCACCAAACCCGGCCAGACACGTTGAGGTATGACGAAATCAGACCTCACTGGAGAACACGGGGCCCGAGCTGAGCAAGCAAACCGACAGGAGCCGCGGGACTGGAACGAGCACGCGCGATGAACTCTGAAAGCTGAAATGGTAGGATCAAAAGCAGATGGGCAGAACGCTACCCAAAACAAGATTGGATACAAAAGCGCACGCACGCAGGCACACACACACACACAAACCATCATCACACACAGTGTACGCACATCACACTGTCATCACATACACATAAACTCAACACCACACACACACACCATACAACACAGACATCACACCACACACACACACCGCACTAACCACATCGCACATTTGTCCAACATTGACCATCGTGTTGCGGGCCTCGCTCCGATCATGACTGGAAGCAGGATAAGAAGTGCAGTGTGAGTGGCAATGGAGTTCCTGGACGGACAGCGACCAGCAGGCGGCGGGCGACGGAGCCTGAGCCCGCAGACAGTGTCACACACACACACACACACGGACACACACTTCGGGGCGCGGCAGGGCAAGCCACGTGCGCGCCCAGGTCTGAGATTTCCCAGTCAGCGACGACAGCGGTGGAGCGCACATCGGCTTAAGGCCGTGCACGACCACGAATCGGCTGTGAGAGCCCCCATCGCGCACGCATGATGCTTAGAAACAAATCATGAACCAAAAGCCTTACGGGATGCCCACGCGCCCCACACATGACCGACGACGAGGTCAAAACTTGGTGAGGCAACTGGCCACACAAGGCCAAAAGACAGGGAACGGTCGTCAACCACCGCTCTTTGACCTAACTGAAGCAAGAACACGACCAACGGGCAAGTCATGAGATAACCGAGGGATCGCACAGGCGTCATGTTATACGAAAAGAACAGACCGCCCAGTCACCGCCAACAGAAAGCCGAGCAGTAGCTCTGGCAACACTTAGTATATCTACAACCTTTACGCGTATCCCCCAAACAATAATTGCGCTTAGGACCTCGTGGTGTTCTCATAAGGAGCTGGCCTGCGCAACAGTCCAGTGGAAATGTGACGGCCCGTCCCCGCCCGTCGCCGCTGGCCGTCGCCGCACAATTTTGGTAACAATGGTCAACTGCGCGAAATGCGAAACTCACGAATGGGACCGTCGCCGCCCCGTCGCCGCACCATTTTGGTCACGCCTTTGACTGTCCGAAGCTCGCACTTTGCATTGATCTGCACTGCTTTGCATTGCTTTGCGCTGCGTTTCGTTGCATGGCTTGCACCGCGCAGATGGCACCACATATCTTACACCACGTAATTTCAACCAGAAAGCTTGCACCACAAACGTATTGCTTAACATAGATTGAACCGCATCTACTGCACGGCATGTATTACACACCATAGCTTGCACCACATAGCGTGCACCACACATCTTAATCCACGTAGTTCGCACCACATACATTGTCCTTTCTACAACATATTAGTATCTCCCCCCGATTTGATGGACCCCCGTTTCGTATTGCATCGTACATATGACTCCGCACCATCGTCCATCCTGAAAACGAGCTCGTATCATCTCAGCTAAACCGGACCCCTCTACAGAAATGCTAGACGCGAGCACTCGTTGATCACAAATTATCAATGTTCAAAAATCCCTTGCAACAAATGGGCGCCCCTGGGAGCATCGTGCAGCCCTGCTAGGCCGTCCCGGGGCCTTACTGAGGTCCGCCCGGCCCGTCCCGAGGCGGTGTCGGAGGCCTTGCGGGCCGTCGTGGGGTGTCAGAATGTCGGGAGGGGAGGCCACCGAAAACAGTGAAAATCCCTAGCGAAATCAATGACTATTGCTTCTCGGGGCACTTAGCTGGGGCCTCGGACGCCCTCTGGAGCCTGCCCTGGGGTGTCATGGCGCCTTCTTCAGGCCTCCAGGGGACTTCACGGGGCCAAAGACTCAAAACTGGGGCCATCTTCGGGCTGTCTTGAAGGCCTCGGTGGCCGTCTTGGGCGCCCCTGGGGGCGTCATGCAGCCAGCCCTGGTACAGTCGGGGCGTTGACCTAAGGAGCCCTAAATAAGGAACGAGGCCCCTTTTTTCCTTAAGTTAACCTTCGATTTCCGGTCGAAAACATAAGGAAAGCCTGAGGCAAGCTGTGAAACACTTAAGGAACGCGGAGCCCCTCCCCAACGAAAAGGGTTCCTTCTTCAGGGCCCCGACTGTATGCCATCCTGGGGCCTTCCTTGTGGCCGCTGGGCCCGTCTTGAGGCGGTGTCGGAGGCCTCGTGGGCCGTCGTGGAGTGTCAGAATGTCGAGAAAGCGAGGGCACCAGAAACATTGGAAAACCCTTGCGAAATCAATGACTATTGCTTCTCGGGGCACTTGTCTGGGGCCTCGAGCGCGCACTGAAGCTGGCCCGGGGCCGGCCTTGCGCAGCCTGGAAGCCTTCGGAGGCCGTTTAGAAAACATGTTCGGTGTCTCGGAATGTGCTCGACCCAGTCTGGTAGACTGTCGGACCAATGTGTGGGCCCTCTGTGCGACCACGAGGACACTTTGGGAACCACGAGGGCGCCCCTGGAACCCCTTGTGCACCCATGTGTACCCGCGGTTTCGGTCCCAGGCCCGCGCAAGGCCTACTCCGACATATGTACGTCTATACATGTGTATATATATATATATGTATGCCTTGGCACGCCCGACATGGGTACAGCACGGGA